ATCCTCAAGTGGTGGTGGCTCTTGAACTTGTTGTTCAGATAGTTCATGAGAATTTTTCTGAGCAACATTCAAGTTCCCAATATATAAAGGTACCACAGGTGGTTCCTTTATTTCTTCCAATTCCACCTTTTGAGTCAAATCACTCCCACTCTCTTCATGCTCCTCAAGAAATTTAGCGTTCCTAGCTTCAACAATTTTAGGAGAATGAGAAGGACAATAAAACCTAAATCCCTTAGAGTTAACTTCATAGCCTATAAAATAACCACTTATTGTTCTTTCATCCAACTTCTTTAGTTGTGGGTTATAAACCCTTACTTCTGTTGGACATCCCCAAACGTGTAAATGAATTAAACTAGGTTTCCATCCTTTCCATAACTTACAAGGTGTCTTGGGGACAGCCTTGGATGGAACCCTATTTAAAATATACACAGCGGTTTTTAAGGCTTCACTCCATAAGGATAAAGGTAAACTTGATCTGCTAATCATGCTTCTTACCATGTCCATTAATGGCTGGTTCCTTTTTTCTGCCTTACCATTTTGTTGTGGTGTTCCTGGCATGGTATATTGAGCAATTATACCTTCACTTTCAAGGAACTCAGCAAATGGACCCCTAACTTGTCCCTTATCTGTGTACCTACCATAATATTCTCCACCCCTATCAGATATTACAATTTTGATCTGAGCACCAGTTTGTTTCTCTACTTCTGTTTTATAAACTTTAAAAGCATCAAGTGATTCTGATTTGTTAAACAGAAAATAGAGATACATATATCTTGAATAGTCATCAATAAATGAGATAAAATATCTCTCACCATTCAAGCAAGGGGTAGGAAAAGGTCCACATATGTCTGTGTGTATGATCTCAAGTAATCGAGAACTCCTTTTGGCACCTTTAGATGATTTGTTGGTCTGCTTACCCTTTATGCAGTCCACACAAGTCCCAAAGTCAGAAAAATCAAGAGCTTTTAGAACTCCATCATTAACCAACCTTTTGACTCTATCAATAGAGATGTGTCCCAATCTCCTGTGCCAAAGACTAGATGAGTTCTCATTGATAATACATTGCTTAGTGCCAATTTCTTTATCATGCAAAGTTAAAACATTAGATTCAAATGTGGGGTCTAGCTCATATTTATATAAATTTCCATTCAAATTTCCAAAACCAATAGTTTTATTATCTTTCAAAGTTTCACAAAAGGATAATGAAAATTCAAATCATACCCACTAATCGATAGTCTTGAAAGAGAAATTAAATTTCTAGAATATTCTGGAACATAAAAAGTATTTTCTAAATCTAAGTGAAAACCATCCTTCAAAATGAGCCTATAAGTCCCCACGCCTTTCACACGTGAACGCGTCCTATTGCCAGAATAAACGTATTGTTTACTTCTTATCGGCTTCCTCTGAGTTAGAAAGCCCTGCATGATTTTGGCAATGTGAATTGTAGCACCGGAATCAATCCACCATGTATTATCAGAAACATCAGTAAAATTATATTCATAACATACAAAGGTAACATTACCTTTCTTCTCAAGCCATTTCTTCTTACAGAAACGACAAACATCTTTGTCAAAGGTGCTTTTCTTCTTCATGGGAACACTTTTGCCCTTCTTTGCATTTCTCTTACCATGAGTCACCATATTAATACTTTCAGGTATCTCATGCTTCAACCTCTCTTCTTCTTGAACACATATAGTCAAAAGTTCATTGATTGACCATTTATCCTTATGTGTGTTGTAAGAAATCTTGAATGGACCATATTCCGCAGGAAGGGAGTTGAGAATGAAATGCACAAGAAATGGTTCAGACATATCCACCTCAAGGGACTTGAGTTTAGCAGCAATGAATTTCATCTCCATAATGTGCTCACGCACTGTACGATTTCTGTCGAAAGTCATACTTGAGAGCCTCTTCATAAGGGTGCTGGCCAGTGCCTTGTCAGAGATTACAAATTGTTCATCAATTGACTTCATGTAAGCTTTGACCTTATCGCTATTAGGGATATAACCCCTAATGCTTTGGCTTTATGTGAGCTTTTGTGAGTATTAAACTTAAGCGATTAGATCGCTCCCACCTCTCATAATTAGCCTTAGCAGCTGGCGTACTTGATTCCGTGGGAATAGGTGGTTCATCCACATGGAGTGCCAGGTCTAGATCCGAGCACCCTAAAATAAGAAGGACTTTCTCCTTCCATTCAGCATTATTGTCACCAGAAAGCATTGGAATTTGAGCATTCTCATTAAAAATAGCGATAGGAAAAGCGATAGAGACTGCAAAACAAGGATAAACATACATAAGCTATGAAGTACAATCCATCAAAGGTGAATCGTGTAAAATACCGATTTTAAGTAAATTCTAGACCTTCCTGTGGGCAAAGGTTGCTACCCATGCATAGAATTTACTAACTTTATTAGACTAGTAAACCAAAATACATAAAAATTTATCCGTACCTGTGGGCGTAAGATAATTTTAACTTAAAGGTTTACTATCTCATTCCAATTAATCTCACCAAAATGGTTACCTCCCTGTAGAGCCGGTTACCATTTTAATAAGATAACTGGACTAAATAGATGTCATTATAATTTTAATCACTAAACTTTGTGATTTAACAACTTAATTTCTTTTATGTTAAGCACTCAAGATGTTGTGGCTACTCCTAAGTACATCACATAAAAGAAAACTCAAATGACATCTCAAAATAATTTGTGTAAATAATCAACTAAACTAAATATTGATTAGATTCAGAATGAGTATACACGTTACATAAGCATAACACTTATAGAACTCCAAACAAAAAAGTAGTTCTTATAAATAATCTGAATACTATAAGAACCTCATAGAAAAATTATGAAAACATAGTTTACAATCTAATGCAAACTTGGTTAGACAGTGCTTCGGGAATTAAGCCTTAATTTCTAAGTGACTTTACAAAAATATTTAAAAGGCTCCAAAGTTTTAATAGGGTTGTAAGTTGATTCATGTCCCAAGAAATAAAGTTGAATTTTATGGCTCAAGATAATATAATAGCCCATTAGAAAAATAAATTCTAAACTATATAATATTTTGAGAACCTTCTAATGCCAATACCACAATCAATATGACACACCGAAACACGTAATAAACACATACAAAATAAATCATGTTTGCATCATGATTTAACTGATACAGTTATATGAATTCGCAAACCACAAAGATTTATAGAGTATTCCTATTCCGATCAAAATTGGGTCATGATCGATGGAAAAAAATCAGATGGATCCATGCTTCCAATGCATCTCTATAATGCAGATTCACGAATTTGAAGATAGGAACAGTGTTTAAAAACTGTACTTACGAAACAGAAGCCATCCATTATCTAATTTACGGTCTGGATGAGAGACCTTCAAATTAAAATCAAGTTAATTCCTAATCCATCATGCAATAATTCAGATATATTGCAGCTATTATTGAACGATCTGGTATTGAACAAGACATCTAAAGGTAGGCTCTTATATCACATGTTGTATTTCGAATACAAATACAGAACCAACGCAGCGGAATATTAATAGGATCATACCTTCAGCCATAGTTGTTCAAGTGTTGTAGGGAATCACCTTCGTAAAATGTTGGCAGAAAACCTAGGAGCCTTCTAGCCTGTGTCTATCGTAGGATGCCAGACTGATGGAGTCACATGCGTATTTATAGGTAGGTTAGGGACTCTTAGGCAAATACTTTAGCCCTAGGGACTTCTCCATAAATTATAATTACCCTAGGGACTCCTAATATATGGTGATTTCTTTCCATCAAAGAAACCACCATATATGCATAACTACAGAATATTATCTAATATATTATTTTCTTTGGGAGACAAGGTAAATAATTTATTACCTTATATGTGGGTCACACTAGAAGTCTCTAGAAGAGACGGTAATTTCTATCATCTTTTCCTTGTATATCCGACGACAATTTCAATGGAAATATATTTTACATTCATTCTTCTTATATTGGGGAACTTATAATTCTAATAAGATATACTACTAGAAGTAAGAGATTTGGTACCTAACTAAATATATATTTTAATTATTAAATATAGTTTTTGAATATTACACAAATTGACAAAGAGAATAATATAATGTTCGACTAAGAAAAATGTTTGAAAATAATTTGTATCTTCTATCATTTGCACGTATACCTATATTAATAAATATATTATTTTTAAAAATTATGTAAATATTATTAAATAATATGTTTGAGTTATTGAAATATTAAAAATTATAAGTTCCTAAAAATAACTAATGTTAATCGCTCTAAACTAGCTCTGAATAATTTTATATTTATTGATGTAGGTACCCTAAAACTAGTACCAACAATAGGAGCATCTCAATAATATTTATAATGAGGATTTGTATTTTCTAAAAAATACATTATTGCTTAGAGGTAAGAAAGTTCATTCTGCAGGCTTAATCTGAACTTAGTACTACCATTTAACTGCTACACTCATGCCTCATTGAGTGTTCATTAACAAATTAATATTCAGCACCTGCTAGATCTCTGAAGTAGCTTTCTCACATTATCCGTATTCTGCAATTATATTATAACTATCCGCTACTAGTAAGATTAACAATAAAGATAAGGACTGAGGGTAGAGCTTTTTTCTTTTAATCTATGCAAAAAGCAATATGAAATTATGTGAAGCTGTTTTCTCTTTCTATGACTCGTTGAGTGTATAACAGATTGTAATATTTAATAGTACTACCTAATGTAACAATTGTCGATAAGAAGCTCCACTTTATTTAAAATTTAATCTACAATGTGCGAAGGATTTTGAGGAAAAAAGATAAGTACTTGTTCTTATTTTATTTATTTTATTACACATACATATAAGGTAGGGAATAGAAGTCCCCCCAACAATATGAAAGTTGAGTAGGGCTTCAATGACGGGAAAAGGCACGTTGTCAAGACAAACTACTGAACTATCATTATTCTCTTTACTTATTTTTATTCATCTAAGGCTATTTCAGATACTGGCGTTGCTAAATGAGATTCCAGCTTCCTCGAGGAAGTACCAGTTTGCAATGGGAATGGCTGACAAGATTGTAGATGAGAACACCAGATGCGGACACGGGGAAATGATCCAAGTCAATCGTGCGGCCCTGGCTTCAGCATTCGCGCGTACGTCAGGATTTCTTTACGGCTCTCTCAAAAGCCCCCGCATGTCGGAGGATTCAGGAACATGGCCCTCACGCATTCTTCGATCTCTACATTTGGGTTCTTTTGTGGCTTCTTCGCTCAAAGGTCTGGGCACATTTTTCCCATGGGTCGGAACAGTCACGAGCCTTCTTCAAAACAAGAGAACATCTGCTGTTCCGTGTGAGGAGAGGGTAAATGACTTGGCGGCTGAGAAACACGCACAAGAACTGCTATGGATAACGACTAAGATGGTGGGGTGTGGTGCTGTGGATGAAGCTTTGGTGCAATGGAGCTTTGCTTCTGGCTTGGCTTCTATTTCTCTTTCCTCTAATTCTAGGGTGCAAGGCTTCATTGTCAAGATCACAGGTAGATAATTATTGTATTACTATTATTTTTATTATTATTATCAATACGATGTTTTAAGATATGTGAATTTTGACGTTGCATTTACTTGTAGCAATATTATTTGGAGAGCTTAAGCGAATGAAAAACGAAGTTCCAAGGCAAGTGAAGTTCAACATACTAGTGCTGTGGCTTCCATTATTCTGCTATGCAGACAACGGGCTTTCGTATCCAGTATTGACAGGGTACGAGAAGGTTGAGATGGAGAAGACAATGGACGAATTGATCTCATCGCTGCCCACAATCGACCAAGAGGTAATTCTCACCAACTGGCTGCAAGACTTCACGACAACGTCTTCGGACTGGCCAAATCTCCAGAAATCATATGACCTTTGGTGCCAGTCCACTCGGGAGTTCGTTGCATGAGTTGTGCGAATAAGAAGGATCACACTGTGTCTTATGTAATATATGGTTGTAAAAGCCGAGCCTTTTTGCTTGACTGTTATATAGTTGGGTTTATACGACCCAATAGAAGTGCCATATGCACTTTGAGTTTGCCAGTTCCTTTTTTTTTTTTTTTTCAAACTATTTCCTTAGTTTATATAGCTTTCCTGTATCTTTACCTTTTTCGCATCTTTATTAGTAGTAATAAATACAAGCTACATATCCTACTTCTCTTATTGTAATTTGTGATGATCAACACTATAAGAGCTAATGGATTCTAAATAGATCAAAACGCATGCATTACAGATGTATCGCTACAAATTACATGGGGATTTTCCTCGGAATTTTATATAGGAAATTTCGCATGTAATGTAATTTCTTGTGAATTTTGCTATGAAAAAAGGTCCTATAGAAAAATCTTCATAAGTAATTATTAATGGCGAATTTTAACATTCTTAAGTACATCACTTGGGGATTTCGAATTCTCATATAAATTACTTACAGATATTTTCGCAAGAAACACTAATAATTTGCAGGAAACTTGATAAAAATTCATGAAAGAAGGATTTTTCGCAAGTAATTTTCCATTGACAACTCCTTGCAGATTTTCCACAATTGGAAAGAAATGTGGAAAAAAGTGATTTATTGTTTTAATTACTTTGTTTATAATTTAATGTCCCCAATTATTTCTTTTGGACTAAAATATTTTTTCGATTTAATATAACACCAACATTTCCTCCATAACCCACCCACTGGGAAAGCAAATCTCAATTTAATTTCTTTCATATTAATTCTTTTATGAGTAAAATATTTTTTAGATTTTATATAATTAAATTAACAACACACCCCAATTATCTCCTCCTTACTGACAACCCGCTCCATGGGAACAAGCGAATACTAGCCACATCTTCAATTCCAACTATCCTCGTTCGGCAGTTTGAGACCTTAAATAGCTTCACTTTGTGTATTATGGCTTGCACGTGTAGTCGATTTGATTTTCGAGAAGTTCGGAGGTTATTTGAAAAGAATAATTCTCAATTCGGAAGCTTTAAGTTGGAAGAGTTGACCAAGATTTGACTTTTGAGTAAACGACATCGAAATCGGGGTTTGAAGGTTCATATAGGTTCGTAAGGTGATTTCCGACTTGGGCGTATGTTCAGGTTGAGTATCGGTAGTTCGAGGGTGATTCGACGCTTATTATCGGAAGTTTGCATTTTGAAGGCTTTGAATTAGCTAAGTTTGACTTAGATTGGACTTTAGCGTTATCGAACTTTAGGAAATGTTCTGGGACCTGGATATGTTCATTTAGTTGGTTGGAACGTGTGTGTGAAGTTTGCTCATAGTCCAGAATGTCTAAGTGTGATTCGGACGCTTCGGCGAAGTTTGAAGGTTTGAACGTTAAAAAAAGGGTTTTGATCGTCGATTCTTGGTTTTGATGTTATTCGTGGAGTTTCGAGCTTAGCATAAGTTTGGATAAAGTATTGAGACTGACTTGTATGATTGGACGGGGTACCGGGGACCTCGGGGGTGTTTCAAACCATGTTCGAGTGCATTGCTGCTCCTAGTTGCTGGTTTTGTTCTTTGCGAATGTGGTGGGAGGAATGCATTTGCGATGAAAGATTTAAGCTAGTGGCCATTTGTGCTTCACATTGGGTGAGTCGCGTTCGCGGAGGCTTGGGGCAGTGATGCTTCATGTTCGCGATAGCGAGATCATGTTCGCGAAGAAGAAGTTGGGATTGGACGTTGGCCTTTGCGTTCACAAAGGGACGACCGCGTTTGCGTAAGGAAGGCCAGGTAAGGCATCGCGTTCGTCGGACCCAATCTCGCGTTCGCGAAGAGAATTATTGGGTAGCTGCAGATTTGGCCTTCGCGATCGCGAGAAGTCTTTTGCAATCATGGAGAGGAAGGGCGTGGGCAGAATATAAGTTGGCAAATCGAGAATTTGCTCATTTCACTCTTGCTAAGGCAACTTTGGGCGATTTGGAGGAGACATGTTCATCACCTATTATAAGGTAAGTGATTCCCATTTGTTGTGAGTTAAATACATGTATTATGTATGGATTTAAACATTGAAATTGGTAGAAATTATGGGATTTTGGAAAAAAAATCTAGAAATAGTATTTTGAGTTTTGACCACGAATTGGTAATAAATTATATATTTGAGTTGGTGATACTATAGGTAATATTTATCTTTTAGAATTTCGAAAGCCGGGCACGTGGGCCCAGTGGTTGACCTTGTTGACTTTTCGTGTGGATTTGGGAATTGTTTCTATTTGATTAAATTACGAGTCTTTGGGTATAATTTTGATTGGGTTGCACGTTCTTTGACTAGTTTCAGTTCGTTTGACATTGGTTTTAGGTGTTAGAAAGGTGTTGGAGCCGGTTATCGGATTTTGGAGCGAGGTAAGTATGTCTAACCTTTTAAGAGGAAATTTACCCTGTAGATGTTATATTTGTTATGAGCTACGTGTTATGGGTGATACGCACATATGAGGTGACGAGTGTCCGTGCGTACGCTAAACATCTTAATTTTGTCTGGGTAGACGTAGACTCACACTATGTTTCAATTGTATTGTTTAAGTTATTCTTCCCTGTTTAAATACCTTATTATTTTAGCCTTAGACTGGACTTGCATAAAGTATCGAACCTTGTTATTTTAGATATTTGATGAGCTACTTCATTAGTCATGGAAATTATACTTCCTTTTATAGATTTCTCTCGCGTTGTGCGTATTCGTCCGAAAGTTTCTTGAATTTCATAACTCACACGTATATTCGTGAGTGGGGCCACTGACCCGCCAAAGTTTCATATTCTTATGGGATCAGTTTGAATGCCTTAGGAGTACTCTTATGGGATCGGGCTAAACGCTTCAATATTACTCTTACAGCACGCCTCAGCATATCATGTACCATATTTTTATGGGATCGGACCGTTCGCCTCGGCATATCATGTAACATATTTTTATGGGATCGGACTGTTTGCCCCAACAGTATCATGTAACATATTTTTATGGGATCGGACTGTTTGCCCCAACAGTATCATGTAACATATTTTTATGGGATTGGACCGTTCACCCCAGCAGTGTCATGTAATATATTCTTATGGGACCAGACCATATGCCACAACAAGATGTTGTACCATCACTCTTATGTGATCCGACCATTCGCCTCGGTAGAATCATGCGTAATATTCGATAAGGAATTAGCGTACCTATGTGTCTTTCTTACTTGAGATGTTATATTTTATTTGGGATTACATTATATATTCCATTCAAGGTAGTATCCGGTATTTGAGAACTTAGTATTTGCCCCTCTGTTGAGGATCGTGTCATACACATACATCTACTTTGTTGCTTTTACATATTCTTCATACATGTCTAATTTTATTGTACTTGATTATTGGACCACTAGTAAGTGTTGAGTATGACCCCTTGTCACTACTTCTCGAGGTTAGGATAGATGCTTACTAGTTACAGGTTGATTTACGTACTCATACTATACTTCTGCATTAATTATGCAGGTACTGAGACATGTATATTTGGTGGTCACACATGAGTGTAGGCGCAACTGCTAAGGAGATTTTGTGGTAAGTTGCATGTCATGTTACGATCTGTAGCACACATAGTCCTCTTCCTATTCATTATTGCATTCTAGCTAGTTTCTATTCTAGAGAGTTGTTGTTGTAGTATTGTATATTCTAGTAAATGCTAATGCACTTGGGAATTTAGACCATTAATCTTGGATGTATTTCTGTTACGACATTCAGTATTGAATTTTGATCATATTCTAATATTGATGATAATGCTAGTATTTAATAAAAATAGAGCAATTTTGCATAATTATTTCACCATTATATTAAAATATGTTAGGAACCGTCAATTATCGTGTTGATTAAATTGTTGGCTTGCCTAACAGCAGCGTTGTGTGCAATCACGGCTTATGGTGGGCATGAAAGCTTGGTATCATAGCACTAGGTTTACTTAGGTCTCACGAGCATGAGTAAGTCTAGTAGAGTCTTGTGGATCTGTACGGACACGTTTGTACTTATCTTTGAGAGGCTACGGTGTTGTCAAGAAAACTTCCCTTTCTTGATTCCTTATCGTGCGACTTGATTTTGTTCGTACGCGATGTCTACCATTCACTATCAGTTGGGCACCGATGAGTTTTAGAGATGCTACAAATATAGTGCAAGATGTTTTTCCCTGCATATGCGGGCGCACCATTATAGTTGCCTTGTGGAGAGGTGTTCAGACGTTTCAGTCCAGTGTAGGTTTTGCCCACGATTTATGTGCTATACACGGTGTATTGTGATGTTTCTCGCATTGTTATCATGTAGTGTTGGTGTCAACGGTAGGGTATTTACTTATGCGTTGCAACAATAAATACTTTATGAGGAGGATTATTCGGTTCGTGACTGGAAGATTCAGTATTTAATTCCAACGCAGAAGAGGCAATTGGGCTATGAATGTTCAGGCTTCAGTTGACGGAGTAGTGAGATTTAATATCTCCGAACTTGGCGGAAGTCTTGTTTGTGTTGTGGTGTCTTTGTCCTTGTTTGAACGCATTAAGTCTCGTCAGTAGTGGAGATGTTTGGAGGTTAGCGACGTTCCAGTAGTGCTTATTAGGGTAATTAAGGACATGTACAAAGGAGCTAACACTTGGGTGAGGACCGTGGGAGGGGATTCGAATTATTTTCTAGTAGTGATGGGATTGCATCAGGGATCAGCTCTTAGCCGAAGTTTATTTGCCCTAGCGATGGATGTGCTGACGTGTAACATCTAGGGGGAAGCGCCATGGTGTATGTTATTTGCAGATGATATAGTTCTTACTGACGAGATGTGAGACGTTGTTAATGTTGATCTGGAGGTATGGAGACAGACCCTGGACTCTAAAGGTTTCAAGTTGAGCAGGACAAAAATAGAATGCTTGGAGTGTAAGTTCAGTGTTGGGACGCATGAAGCGGGAGTGGACGTGAAGCTTGATACCCAAATCATCCCCAAGAGAGAGAGAGTTTCAAATATATTGGGTCTATTATACAGAGTAACAGGGAGATTTACGAGGATGCCACAAATTGTATAGGAGCGGGTGGTTAAAATTGAGGCTTGCTTCTGCTGTTTTGTGTGACAGGAATGTGCCACCTATACGTAAAGGCAAGTTCTATAAAGTAGTAGTTAGACCGGCCATGTTATATGGAGATGAGTGTTGGCCAGTCAAGAAATCTCATGCCTAGAAGATGA